GTCACAGCTTTGGTCTGCCTCTCTTGTGCAGTCTGTGCAACCACCAGCAATGTCAGACCCACTGTACCTGAGTCTCCTTTATATCTCACAGCAGTTGACCCCAGTTTCCACTGCTGCCACTCCTTTGGGGCACTGTCCTCTAGGGCATGCAGGGTCTGCGTGGGCTCTCAGAACATATGTGGTATGGGCCCTGGCTGTCTGGATGCTGTCAAAGTTTGGGACCGTCTATAAACTCCATCTGTGCAAGCAGCTGCAATGGCCACCTGCAGGGTGTTCAGATACTACCCCGGTCCAATTCCCCTCTGCGTCCCATAGTTGAACTCTCAGTTTAACTTTATGCACACACAGGGAAGTCACGGGAAACTAGGCAGTCACTGGAACAGCCCTCATTCTGCTCTCTCTGCTCTGCCTCAGTGGCAAGCCAGGGCTCATATGCTCCTCGTGAGCAGAGTTCAGGACTCCCAAAGCCCTCCTGCTAGTCTAAGGCGCTTTCCAACAAACCACGGGGGCTCCTCATCCCTGTGTCTGGCTTCAGGGCTGGCACACCCAATATGTGGCTTATAGCTCACTCCCAAGGGCAGATCTCCACAAGTGTATTTTCCCCTTCACTCTGAGTCCTCTCCCAAGGAAAAAAGTCCCAACCTGATCACATTTATTCCCTTACTATTCAATTCTGTGTGGGTATTTCTTACACCTTTGGTTATAAAGGAGTTTTTCTGCCAGTTTCCAGTTAGTTTTCAGTGACATTTATTCTACACATAGATATATTTTTCATGTGTTTATGGAGGTAATTGAGTTCTATGTACTTCTACACTACCATCTTGATCAACTTCTCTATGTTGAACTTTTAAGGAACTACCAAACTGTTTTCCAAAGTTGTTATATCATTTTATGTTCCCACTAGCAGTATATGAGTGTTCCAGGTATTCTAGACCCTTGTCAATGTTATGTATGGTAAATCTCTAACTTCAACATTTTAACAAATGTGTAGTGGTATCTCATTGTGGTTTTAATTTATAGTTTTCTAATCAATAATGTTGAGCATTTTTTCATGTTCTTATTTGCTATTTGTAATCTTTGGTGAAGTTGTTAGTTCTTATAGATATTGAGTGTTCTTTATATATTCTGGGTGTATGTTATTGATCATATATACATTTTGTAGAATGTTCCCCCAGTGGGTGCTTTGTCTTTTTATTTTCTTCATAATATCTTTCAAAGAAAAGGAAAATTTAAATTTGAAGTTCATTGTAATAGTGTGTTCTTTTATGGATCAGGATTTTTGTATTATATCTATGAAATCTTTGCCTAACTCAAGCTTGTAAAATTTTTCTCATGTCTTTCTCTAGAAATTTTATAATATTAGGCTTTAAGTTGAGATATATGATACATTTTGGGTAATTTTTGTATATGGTATAAGTTATGGATTAAAGTTTATTATTGTATCAAATAGATATCCAACTAAACCATTTTTAACTTGGATAACTATTATCACATTGTTCTCTTTAAAGGTCATACAACTTAAACTTCTAACAAAAATGTATGAGGGTGTCTCTCCGTCTGACAATACTTGTATATTAGAAAAGAGTAGTATCTTCATCTATTGTTGAATTGCTTTTTAAAATTGTGAGATTAAGTATCATTTTATATATTTTAGAGCTATTTTATTTCCTTTCTGTGAACTAATTATTTCTGTCCTCTGCTCATTATTTTCTATTGGGATGTTGGTCATTTTCTTTCTGTTTTAGGAAATTAATTTAAAATGTTGAATTCTATTTGATTGCTTTTATAAAAATAAAATAACTTTCAGAGTATAACACATGAACACGGAGTTTGTAAAAAGTATTTGAACTTTTAACACTCTAAAATAGTGCTTTTAAAGGGCATCTCAAACTGTTTCATTAGAAAACTATTGCTGAGTTAAATGTAGGACTTTGTAAGATTCAGATCTCTTCATTCACCAAGATAATTTTCAGTAACATGGACTGATCAGAGCAGCATTTGAAAAGTCCAAGGACACTGCGAGGTCATCTAAATAAGCTGCTTTGACTTAAATGGGCTATTGCTTTACTTTATTTTACTGTTTATATTTGCAAAACGAGCCCTCAAAATAAAAAAGCTTGACTCCAGTCAATAAGATGTGTGGGTCTCAGTGGACTGATTTCCTACTATGAATCTCTTTAACAGCATCAATATTATTTGGCAAATATATCTATGGGGCTTTGGTCCCTCAATATCCATAGGCAAAAACAGGAACACGTTACAATGTTAAAACGTTAAGATTCCTTGGACAGCTGTTGATGGATGAATTATAACTAAGGAGGAGCTTAAATGCCATAAATTATCTTTCATTAAAGCAGAAACTAAACCGCAACACATTTTCATAGAATAAATAACTCAGGTTCTTCTTTTTAAAACAAAATCATCATCCTCAGTGTCTATGTGAACTTTTCCTGAGCATCTAAAAACTGAAACCCATATTTATTTCTATTAACTTACAACATTATAAGAGACTTACTTGAGAAACACAGTGATTTAATTATTTGAATTTGAATAGAAAATACCCCATTTACTGTGACAAATCATGGTAAATTTAACAGCAATTGTTAAGATATGAAACAGTTTTGTGAATTACAGAATTTTGCCCAAATCTCTAGGGCACTTAGGGAAAGTTCCATTGAAATAACTATTTTAAAATAGATGAAAAAAAGTGCTAAGTGTTAATTTCACTAAATTATTAAATATCTAAGTTTTGTATACTTATCTTGTATGCTTCTCTTGTTTCCAATAAAGTTTTCATTTTAATGCACCTTCTAATTGTCCTAGCAGGTAAGAAACCAGAGTATACTCCGACCATATACTAATTAATGCTTATCTGCCCTGCTCTAAAAAAGGTCTAAATAAGGTTTGAAAATTAGGCATTAGTTTCTTACATATTATGGCCATAAAATGCCAGAGAGCTTGTTTCTGTGTGAGGTCCTCAGCAATGAGGTCCTTACTCGATACTTAGTTTTGGCACTAATGATTTCTGGAATAGGGTGGGCTTCATGCTCAAGGCAGTAAAATGGGGCTAGAGGTGAGCTTTCAGAAGCATTTCAGCAGAAGAATCTGAAAAATAGACCTAGAATAATAACGGAAAATATTTAGTATTCTGTAATATCGGTAAGTGTCCAAGTAAGAGAATGAGGAAAGTGCAGCATCAGAAAAAAACAAGGTAGTAATGTGATCTCTGCAGGATCTGCTATAATGATCCTGTTGGTCTTTTTCCCTCGAAAGCCTCTTCTTCCTTTTCCTTAGTACCTTTATCTTGTTTTCTTTTTTCTCTCCTATTTGTTCAAGTGCTTCTTCCCTATCCATTTCTTTGGTGGGATCCTTCTTTGTCTTTCATCCAGGGCAGATACTCATCCTACTTGATTCTTATTTTTACATTTCATTCTCCTTTTTCCCTGGAGTGTTCATCCATATCCTTGGATTCAACTCTAACTCTAAGCCATTGACTCCAACCTCAGCAGTCCTATTTCTTCATCATAGCTTCAAAAGACTCTTGTACTTTCCACCTGAGTGTTCAGCTCTCACTTGAACTCAATGTATCAAAGTTTTGACACATTCAACAGTTGCTGGCCACACAGCACCTGAATCATATCTTCTTAACTCCATCATTCAGTTCAGTTCAGTCGCTCAGTCGTGTCCAACTCTTTGCGATCCCATGAACTGCAGCACACCAGGCCTCCCTGTCCATCACCAGCTCCTGGAGTTTACCCAAACTTAAGTCCATCGAGTCGGTGATGCCATCCAACCATCTCATCCTCTGTTGACCCCTTCTCCTCCTGCCCTCAATTTTCCCCAGCATCAGGGTCTTTTCAAATGAGTCAGCTCTTTGCATCAGGTGGCCAAAGTATTGGAGCTTCAGCTTCAGCATCGTCCTTCCAATGAACACCTAGAACTGATCTCTTTTAGGATGGACTGGTTGGATCTCCTTGCAATCCAAGGGACTCTCAAGAGTCTTCTCCAACACCACAGTTCAAAAGCATCAATTCTTCAGCATTCAGCTTTCTTTATAGTCCAACTCTCACATCCAAACATGACTACTGGAAAAACCATAGCCTTGACGAGACGAAACTTTGTTGGCAAAATAATGTCTCTGCTTTTTAACATGCTATCTAGGTTGGTCATAACTTTCCTTCCAAGGAGTAAGCATCTTTTAATTTCATGCTGCAGTCACCATCTGCAGTGATTTTGAAGCCCCCCAAAATAAAGTCTGCCACTGTTTCCACTGTTTCCCCATCTATTTGCCATGAAGTGATGGGACCNGAAACGTGGGAAGAATTCTTGGCAGCATAAAGCCTCAAGACTGCACCCACACACCTTCATCTGCAACTCTATAGATTCTCTAGACAGGTGGCTCCCAGTTTATTAAAATATTACAACGTAGGGCAGATCCTCAACTACAAAAACGGTTTGCCCCCTGAGTCAGTCTTGCCAGCTGGCAACTCAGTTATTGGTGCTATAAACAAAGATGGGTATGTCCTCACTCATCGTTCCTCCTCCAGCCCTCGCCCTTTGCTTGTTTTTGCAATACTCCGAGTGCTGATCTCTGTCTCCCCCTGGTGGCAACCGTTTAGGGACAAGCAGGCGCCCTGGCAAGGCAGGAGGGAACACGCCTGTAATAAAGATCGCGGCCAAGGAGCGGGGCGGCGGGAACCTCCTCTGGCTTTTGCAGCTTCTGCATACTGTACAAGTCTGGCCTTCCCAGAAAACAGTTTCCCAAACGTGGCGCTCACTCCAGCTTAGTTCTGTTTTTCTCTGTCCAGCTTTATTCAGGTCTTACCGGTTGGGAGTCCTATTTTGTTGTGACTTTCAGGTTTTAGGGAGTAACTTCCACGCATTTGGAAGCGAGGAGGCGCAGGAGAGTCCAGACGGTAAAAGGATTGTAGACATCAGCAACCCCCTCCTCACCCCGCCCCCCACCCGCCGTTATTCTGAAGAAATGAGGGAAGAGGGAAACCAGACTGTTCCCTCAAGTCCCAAATATTTCTCCCCGTCCCCCGCTCCACCTTAGGTTTCCTCTGCTCTCGCCGTGTTTCATATATTGATCTGTTACTTTACCACTGCTTAGAGAAGGTTGCAGATCGTCCCGAAGTCCGTCTCACTGCCCCCAACCCTTAAGCGGCCGAGAGTGGGCAGTCCAGAAGCGAGGATTCGGCTCATCTGCTGTCGGGCATAGTGAAGGCGGGACCTCCGCGGACTCGGAGGGCGAGATGAGGATCAACGGTAAATGGGAAAGGGGTGGGCTCATGACGCGGGATTTAGGAACAGGCGTGGGTGTGAAGAGGCGGAGGTAAAACACAAACCGCTTGCCAAGCCGGCCAGCGGTTTGTTCTACTAGACGGTTGGGGTCTGTGTCTGATGCCCCCAAGCCCGCTAGGCTGCCCAGCGGCTCCACCGAGCCCGAAGCCGAGAGCGAGTGAAGGATCGCGGAGTGTCCTCAGCTCGGGCTGAGGGGGCAGGGAAGCCGAAAGCAGGGTGCGCCACTTCCTCAGCAGCCTCAGCTTTGCGGGCCTGTTCCCTCGCGGCTCCGCACTGAGATCCGCCTCTTCTCTGCCTCCCCCTTTCCGCGAACTGCCTCCGCCTCCTTCCTCTGCCTCCACCCTCAGTCCCCAGCCCTGTTTGTCTAGAGCTGGGCTAGGTGCCCTGGGTCGGCCGGGGCTCTGGATGTGGGTGCCAGACGATTCCACGGCGCCTCTCAAGATGGACAGCCGCTACACCAGCTCCGCGGGCCTCGGGGATTTAAACCAGCTGAGCGCGGCCATCCCGGCCACGCGCGTGGAGGTGTCCGTGTCTTGCAGGTGAGAAGGCGCCCTTCCCCTCCGCCCTTTGTCCTCACACCTACTGGGTCGGTAGCGTTTGGCGAGGGTACGCCGAGGCTCCGCGAGGGTGAGAAGTTGCGCCCTGAGTGGGAAATAGCTCAGCTGTGGGTCTCGAGTCACCGCCGGGTCGAGTGGCAGAGCGAAGAGCCAGAACCAGGAGCGAGTGGTGGGCTCTGGGACTGAGACTTCATTTCTTTTAGGGGAAATGTTGTAAAAGTTGGCGGGGCTGTGACTCAGCGGCGGGAACCCCTGGCCGCCGCCCACTTGACGAGCCCTATTTCACGTCCCAAACTCGAGCCGCGGGGTTGGATGATGACAGGAAAGGCACAGCATTGCCAAAAGCTTGTGACCAATGCGCGCAGCGGCCCGGGACTCCCTCCGCTAGGCTCTGCAAACCCGAGGTTGGCACAGTTGGCTCCGAACCAGGCAGCTTCCTCCGCACCCACTTCCCGGAGCCATCCAGCTTGCTTCCCCGCCTCCTCGCCCCCGCCGCCCCCGGGGGAGCCTTTTTGCCTTTGACCTACTACGTAGAGATTTCGACCGCAGCCTTACCTCAACTGTGGGAAGTCACGACTTTCTGCCTGCAAGTGGATACATTTGAGTGCCCGTAAAAACCTACACTCTTGCTGTACATTTCAAACTCCTTTGGCTGACGTTCTTTGGGTCACTTTCCTTGTAAATAAAGTAGCATAATTGCTATATCGCAGATGATTTTAAGATGATAACACTAACTGGTGCCCACTCCCATGTTTGCAGACTTTGATCTTTCTCAGTGGAAAACTACTAACCTGTACACTTTCTTGTCTTTAAAGCCCTCAAATCCTTTCCTTCCTTTTTTTAAGGAAAAAAACAAAAAAAAACAGGAAGAAATCTTGACGAAATCTAATAAACATGGTTAAGTCTCGATGTAAATAAGCCCCTAGGCTTAAAATACTATCAATCTAGTGATATTTAATTTTGCACTGTCACAAGACTACACCCGAAAGCCAGAAGAATGATTTAAGGCTGACTTCAGACCATTAAACACTAATGCTGATAGTGATAGCTAAATGATGCCTGAGATTTCTGTCTGTTGAACAAGTGAAACTTTATGGAAAATTCTTCTTAAACATTAATTTCTAGATCTTTTTCTCTTTTCTGAAGCTGGCTTTGGATGCTAGAGGGAGGTTATCAGTATTTAACAGGTAATGCATAGCCTGAAGTCCTACAATAACAGCCTTTTCTAAAGTTGTTATTTTCTCCTGAAATCCTGTAAATCTGAATGGCATGTGGCCTGTATAAGGAATGAAGATAAATGTTAACTCTAAATTTCCCATAAACTTTTTAGGGGTTGTGGGGATATTAGCTAGTATTCCTGCCAATAAGGTCCATATTTAACCCGTCCCCCACCCCCACCCCCCCATGATTTTTTGCTGTGGGTGTGGTGCTGGGAATCCTGGTCAATTGGCTTTAATCCAGTTTCCTTCAACTTGCTACCTCTGAAACTGGAGATCCCCTTGTTTCACCCCCCCTTTTTTTTTTGATACCATTGATTTCATGTATTGTTTTTAACTTTTAATGTTCAAAAAGAACAGTTCTGGAAGAGAACCAAAGTACTGGTAGTACTTATATTGTTGATAATTGAATCCTGTGATGATAGATGATGGTGTCCCTGGGCCTTTGGCATAAGAGATCTGGTTATACATTCTGGCTTTATATATATTCTGATGTCTAAAATGAAGATAATTTTGGCATTTATCTTATATAGGGTATTATCAGAGTTTAATAAAATGATATCTGAAAAATACTGACACAATGTAGACATGAAAATGTTACAGTGTTAAAAATAGTAGCTATTATTATGATATTGGAAATAGTATTTATTGAATCAGTGTATTGCACATGGTTCAGCTATGGAATTCTGGAAATAGTCCTTCTCTTTTGAACTTCAATAAATTGGTTAAAGAAGACAGGGATAGAGGCAGAGCATATTTCCTAGATTGTCTGTGGGGATTTTAACTAGCAGCAAGGCACAACTGTAGGTCCCTTAGCCTTATTATAGGCAAGCAGAGAAAGGAATCACCTTGCTGTTTCATACTGAAGACTTCTGATGATTTGCTGATGACCATTTTGATAACCTCCTTTCACTGTGACCAGTTTAAGATTTTTTTAAAAGCTTTATGATGTTTGCATCTTCATTTTGAGTGAGGTGAGAAAATCAACAATTGAAGCTTGAAGTTAAATATAATTCATGGAAATCATTTATTCACTAAGGAAGTGTTTGAGTGTCTTTTATGTTTAGCACTATGCCATGTTCCATGAGAAATGCATAAGTTCTCTAAAAAAGTAAAATCTTGTTGGGAGATAAATATAATATTGTATAACACATAATAACATAGGACTAAATCCAAAGATGAGGTTCATGAAGAGGAATGGAAGAGATCATTGTGGAACAGAGTACTTGGAATGTGCTACAAAGAGGAGATGGGGCATGAGCGGAGACAAGACAGATTGGCATGGTTAGTGTGAGACAAAGAGCGGTGGAGTTTCTATAATAGCTACAAAGTTGGTGTGTTAAAGTGACACATGTTTTCTAGCTATATTTATGCAGAGATAAAGCTCTTACTCTTTGACTTACCTTCTACTCATTATTCAGCTCTTCTTGCATTCATTTAAAAAATTTGTTAATTTGTAAGTTTTAAGATTTTTAAATTATTGGGTTACCTAATTAAAATGTCTATAGATGAAATGACACAACCTTAGAAACATAAAATAACATTCCTGTTTTATTCTGAAAACAGATAATTATAAAATGAAGGTAAAAACAATGGGAGAAGTAATAGGCAGTAATTAACTGTTCTCCTGGAGACCTTGGTTTGTTGCACTGTTTCTCACACATTATTTTGATGATTTTGTTATTGGCATGTCATTTTGATGAGCCAATGAGAAACTGGCTTATCAAGTATAAAAGCAGGGATGCTGCCGCTGCTGCTGCTAAGTCACTTCAGTCATGTCTGACTCTGTGCGACCCCATAGACGGCAGCCCACTAGGCTCCTCTGTCCCTGGGATTCTCCAGGCAAGAATGCTGGAGGGGGTTGCCATTTCCTTCTCCAATGCATGAAAGTGAAAAGTGAAGGTGAAGTCGCTCAGTCGTGCCCAACTCTTAGCGACCCCATGGACTGCAGCCTACCAGGCTCCTCCGTCCATGGGATTTTCCAGGCAAAGAGGACTGGAGTGGGGTGCCATTGCCTTCTCCAAAAGCAGGGATAGCAGTCTATATTTCTAGACTTTGTAGATTAGATATCACAAGTGAATCTTATTGAAGCAATAATCCTATAATGGTAATAAAATTAATTTTAAAATCTAGTGTGGAAGGAAGAATACAAAGTGGAAAGTAATGAGTGCTTATTTTGTTCTAGGAGTTCTAAAAAGCACTTCCTGACCTGGCTTTACCTGTCTTGCCTACTCTCCCACTACTCCTCATATATAAGCTCTATGACTAAACACAGTGTCGACTTAAAAAATAGTCACAACGGGCAAGTTGAGAGTTATGTTTTATTTGGTAGGAATTTTTAGGACTTCAAGCCCAAGAGACAGCTTCTCAAGTGACTTTGAGAAAACTGATCCTCGGAGGCACAGGGAGGGGTCAGGTTATATGGAAGTTTGCACCAAGGGGAAGGTAGTCTGAACATCAAAAGATTATTGTTAATTTTGGAAAACCAGATATCTCAAGTTAAGGAATTTAGCGCTTTTCTGTGTATGGGAAGATGCAAGAGTCCAGACTTAGTGAAATTATTCCTTTCATATGCATCCCAGCTATCTGGGACAAGGTGCTCACCAGGGGGACTGGCTGATGGCTGCGGATTGTTTTTCTTGGGTACCCTCTGGGCTCAGAAATTCACATTTGGAGGGCCAGAATCACAGATTGCTGTGATATCCTTATTAGTTGATACAGCAGGAAATACTCCATTTCACAATAGCTTAACAATTATATGCTTAATATATGCAAAAGTTGGTGCCAGATAAAAGTTGATCACAGAACAGTACTAAGAGGTACAGTCTCAAAGCGTGTTCTGTTATCCTGTTGAAACAAACTTTCTTTGCATGTGTGGCTGTGCACATGATTTTCTCTGCCCTGAATGTCCCTTCCTCCATTCCCTTCTTTTCTTGATTAGCATTGTCTCCTTCTTCCAGACTTCAGATATAACATAATTTTCTATCATGATCCTCTCCCAAGCTGTATTTTGCTATATTCTCAGAGCAGCTGGAAATGGCAGCCTACTCCAATATTCTTGCCTGGGAAATCTCATGGGCAGAGGAGCCTGGCAGGTCTCTGTCTTCTTCTTGAGGGCAAGGTTTGTCTCCTTCATGTTTATGCATTCTGAACTTGGCACAGAATAAGTAGTCAATAAATGCTAGAAGCTGTAATTCTCTGAATGAGTCATCTGGCATGGGATAGAGGTTTGCTTGTTAAAATATAGACTCTTAGGTTCCAAATTAGATCTACTGAATGAAAATGTCTGGAACGAAGGCTCAGGAATCTGTACCTTTAGTATGTTTACCATGTGCTGGTTACACACAGTAAACTAAAAAAAAATATTGGTGGAATGAACAAATCTGTGAATAACTCAACACTGAACCTAGTAGTCAGAAATTTACATTTGCTTTGTATAGTGTCATTAGTGATTCATTCTCAACTTGTACACCCACCCCAGCAAGCTGACAAGATGTCAGGCTCTCTTGGCACTGCAGTCTTCTCAGACACCTCATTTATATATATATATACATACACACACACACACACACACACACACACACATATGTTTTAATTGGAGGATAATTGCTTTACAATGCTATGTTGGTTTCTGTTATACAACAGAGAGCATGGAATTTAGTTTCCTATATTATACAGCTGCTTCCCTCTAACGATTGTTTTACACACGGCAGTATATTTGTCAGTGCTATTCTCTCAGTTCGCCCCACTCTCTCCTTTCCCCAC